AGATAAATTGAATATATTTTAAAATAAAATCACTCAAATATTTTTAAATATTTGAGTGATTTTGTTTTAAATATTTATTATGTTTTTCTACAAACGTGCTTTAAAATTGGGTGGACAAGTTAAAAAAAACCTGAATCTTTTGTAATATACTGAAATATTTACAAAAAATATTAAAATTATTTAAAAAAAAAATGTGAAATATCTAAAATGACTACCAAACGCGTTTTCCACATAGAAATTTATTATTATATCGCATACTTACAGTCAATATTTATATCCCAACGTTCGAATTATTAAATTCTCGATTTATCTCAATGGCTTACCTTTCTAATCGAGAAAGGCATTCGAAAAAATTGCACAAATTGATATATCTCGACATTGTGTTTCAAGCAGCACCATGATCGCTATCTTAAAACTATTGTGAAAATACATAAAGGCAAAATAAATAAATTTTCATACAATACAAATGCAACTAATCTTATAAGGTAATAGAGCCAAGATACAGATTTCTTTTTCAGCTCACAAAAGGAGATTTTTAAGGATTTTGATTAAATCATTTTTTTTCTTGATACTACTAAAAGTTTATAGGTTCACATTTTATGACATTTTCTATATTGAGGAAGTGCTTTTACCTTTTACTGACCATTTTTTTTAAATTTATAACAACTCTCTAAAAATAAATTAGTCAAAAATGACTAATTTGATAGTTAACCATGGGATACCATGGTATTCCAAAAAAGTAGAACAGTTTATGAGATATAGTCAATTTTTCATTTAATATGGAACTGACCATATCTGAAAAACTGCCCCACTTTCATAATTTTTAACGGTATTTTCGGATTCAGGGGACAATTTTACATAAGAACTGGCTGTTAAATTTTGGGATACCATGGTATTTCCATGGTTAACAAGGTACAAGTGAAAAAGCAGCCACTAATAACTATTAAATTAGTAATTTTTAACTAATTCATTTTAGAGAGCATACAATGTGTTACTCAAAATAACACATTCCGAAATAAGGATATTTTAATTAAAAATTTACGACCAAGAAAAACTTATTATTATGTAATTTCCTTATTAACCGATAGCATAACAATTTGGTTAAGTTAAAAAACGAGATTTACGATGGCGCGCTGCTATTGGCCGAGGAGGCAATAAATTACGATTTTATAATTAGTGGGTTGTAAGTTTCGACTTTAAATATACGATACTAGGAATTTTTAAAAGACCTGTTAGTTGCTCTAAGCCTGTTTTAAACAGGGGAACAATTTTGTCCTTGAAAATGTTGGGGTCGTTGACACATCTCTACACCGTGTGTACCCACCTCTATCGGGCTCATTATCCTTTTCGGATTGCAGTCCTTTTGTTACCTAATTATTAAAAAAACAATTTTGCATACATCTTATTATAATATGGTGAAAAAAGTTGTCGTGGATATAAATCAATTTAGCTTTGCATAATGGATAGATTAAAATTCATTTTTAATTTGCTGAAGTACTACGCATAAGAATATTTAAATTTTTTTCCAAGCAACATCAAACAACAAATTTTTTTCTCTTTTGAAAAAAGAAATTATCTTGAGCTAAATATAAAGTCAAGTTAGGTTAAGGCTGTCACTTAAATTTGATTGACGATTATTATATTTTATAAAACACATGTAATTTAAATAAAAATGCAATACGTGTGAAAAATTGTAATAATATACATAGGTACAAAACTCAATACAAATTTAATAAGGAAGAAATTATAATAATCCGTATTTCGATCACGATTTTAAATTAAAATCCAATCGAATCCAAACAATTATCATAATTCAAAGAAAGCGGCAACAACAGTTTTATTGAAAATCAATATGACAACTAAATGTCTAATTACCGACCTACGTAAGCCATTTTGAAAATGCAGAAAACATTATTAAACAGTTTAATTTATGGGGCAATTTTTATAAAATACCAGAAACAGGAAATAGCATACATCTTGCTGTTGATATTTATAAATACGAATTTTCTCAAAGGGATATAAATCAAGTTGCGCGAGCAAACCCTTTTCCTTCCCGTGTGTATGTATTTTTGCCGTATCTGATTCCATTTCACTTTATTTATTGCCGAAATTCAGATGGGTAGTAATTACACGTTCAAGTAATCAACATTGTAATAAATTCAGTTTATTTCTTTTGAAAAAGCATTTTTATTTTATTATAAATATCAAAAATAACTTTATCTATTTTGCGTTTATAATGACTTCATTATAACACCGCTTTCGGTGCTTTAATAAGATACTTTATAATATTTTTATGATTTTTCTAGTACATACGAGACTTTTCTGGCAATAAATTTTGATTAACACCAAAGAAAATCCTTTTTTTCTTCTTTAACATTAACAGCCGCTTATTGTAAATAAGTAAATTAAGGACGGCATGGCGAATCGATTTTGACATTAACTGTCAAACTAACTGTGATACCAAATATCTAAAGTAAAATTTACTACTACTACTACTATTACATTTTAATAATTGGCAAGTTTTACAAAAACAAATTGAGGGACAATATCTTGTACAAAATGGTTTTATCACTAGAACCCTTATAAGGGTCACTACAGTGAAAACCGAAAAACTGAACCTTATACACATAGTGCCTTATAAAATGTAAGTTGAAATTTCGCTGGTTATTTTAATAAAACTTTAAAAGCGTCATTAAAAGTTTACGAGATTATAAAAAATTTAAAGCGCACTAAAATATAAAGACGTAAAAGATAATTTAATCAGCATAAATGCTGAAAAGATAAATATTAATAAAAATCGCAGACATATCTGAACCTTTTTAACTATCCAAAAATTAGTTGTAAAGGATGCCTTTCTTATCTTATTAATTTTTAATGGCGATGGGGCAAACGGAATGCCGTTTAAACTTTCCGACGGTTCGGGCTATTTAAAGAATGCCAAAAATAAAATCAAAGAGTTTGTTTATTAATTAAAAACACTGCTATTTAAACACCACGGCAATTTATTGTATCTTTGATATACAAACCGCATGTTTTTTTTATTATAAAAAAAATAAAAAGAAAAAGTTTTCTTGTACAAAAGTGCAGATAAAATAAAATATGACGGGCAACTCGTAAAGAAAACGCCCTATAAATTATATACGAATGATACTTTTTATGATGGCCATATTCGTAAAAATTTAAATTCGCCTTTTAGCCAAATTGGCTTAAAAAAATAAAAAACAAAATAGGCACTATTGCAATAAAAACATAAACTGGCTGGGGTTTAGTTTGACAGCACGAGAGTTTACAAGTTTAAATTGGTTTTGAACAATTTGATTGTTTTTGAACAGTTTGAATATACATTTGCGTTTTCTGTCCTTAATTACGGTTTTAATTAAATTAATTAAATTAAACGATTGGCAAAATAAAACTATAACATAAGTTTCTGTTATGAAACGGAATAAGAAAAGTACCTTTGATTTCAGAACCGGACATATCCAAAAGCTTTAATATTACATCGGGACTCCATTTCAACCAATAAGATTGGCTATTTTGCTATATTTTGTAGTAAATTGTTTTATCTTGAGTTTCAAAACCGGACAAATCCAGGTTTTATAGCAAATATAATAATTATTATAATCATGTATTATATGATTAAATATAATCGTAGTAGAAAATTCACTTTTTTCTGGATATTGTAAATTTTCAGAAAAATTGACTTTTTCATTTTCTTCTTATTACCCTTTAAATAAAATAAAAAAAATGCAGAAGTCAATTTTTGATGAAATTTTTTTTCCGCCGGCTTTAATTTTAAAACCATATAGTCACATAATAATAAATAGTACATTATAGACCAGGTGGAAAAAGCTCATTTACAGCCGATTTTATAACTATTTTTTAATCATTAAAATATTTATTCACATCATTTTTATGTTAGGTTTAAGTGACATTTCTGCTTCATTTTTTTACTGAAGTTCATAATAATTTGACTTTCAACCATATAGACTTGAGGGTTATAAAATGATAATTATTATTACACGCTTGAAAGAAAAGTAAACATTACTAACTTTTCTAAATAATTTTAACATAGTAACCCTGTATATTTTTTGATACTGACAATTCTTCACAATATGTATAATAGTTTTACTATGCATGTTCGAATTATTAAAAAATTATTCATCTTCAATCGGTCTACAATTTAAACTTTATTGTTGTCAACACCCGTTACTAAAGTGATTGATTATGGCCTGGGCATCTAAAAATTATTTAACCCAATCGGGTTAGGTTATTTATGCCGTAGCCCGTCAAAATTCATTATTTACTACTTTGGACCAATAAAAAAATTCGACTTCTGTCAGATACTACTCTCTTAAAATGAATTAGTCGAAAATGCAGTCAATTTCCATGTAAAATTGTCCCCTGAATCCGAAAATGTCGTCAAAAGTTAAAAAAACAGTTTTTGAGATATAGTCAATTTTCCAGTTAATATGGAATTGACTATTTCTCAAAAACTGCTCTACTTTCATAATTTTTGTCGGTATTTTCGCATTCAGGGGACAATTTTGCATAAGAATTGGTTATTAAATTTTGGGATACCATGGTATCCCATGGTACAAGTGAAAAAGCAGCCACTTATAACTGTTGTAATTGTTATAACGCGTTTGAAACATAAGTTTTTAAGCAATCCCAAGCATCCCATTTATGTATATTTTGGTAACTTGACACACCGGTATGCTATATGGGTCATTCCACGGAAAACATTTATTTTTGTTCTTATAGTTTCTTATATGGCGTTATACTGTATTCTTGATTCATCAAGCTTTTTAATAGTCTAAGTACTGTCCTGTGAGGATTTAGAAAAAGTTTTATTAAGCAATATAATATTGGGAATAAAAATGGGTAAAATTATATTTTTGTAAAATCCTCGACTTGTGACAGGTGTGGAATAGTTAAGTTTTTTTTTATAATTTTTGAATATTGCATGACTGGGTGATTTAGGGGTTGTTTAGGGTTCGTACCTTGTAAAGATACTGATCGAACATCCTGCAAACGTCAACATCTGTACCGACACAATAAGTGGCCTCCATGGTATCGCTGTAATTTCCAATGAGAGCGTTTATTGAAGCCACAATGGGCCTTAAATGTTCCAGCGTTGTTGGCACTTTAAACACGTCCAAAAAGAAGAAAAATTCCTACCAGGCGGAACTCAAAAAATCAAAACACACACTGCGCACTGAGGGAAAATTGGCGGTCAAACGACGGCGCACATTTCCGTTGTTTTAAGTATTTTTTGCTAACCCGGCATATACAACGTGCGTTGTTGCGGTTGGTTGTCAGAGACAGAGAGTAAAACAAACGCACGCGGCGGACACACGACGACAGAACGGCTGCTGAGAGTGGAGTGTGCTGCCGGCGGTGCCCCCACCTACGAGGGGATTCCCCCACCGCCAAAGGGGCTGCGCAAAGGCGCGCGAAACGCGCAAGGGCCCGCGTCGATTTTAACTTTAAAAATCTATGAAAAAGGAATAAATAATACGCGGGAGGGCCCTCCTTCCACCCCTTCGCACACACACACACACAGACCCGCCATCGTGCTCTCTCTCGTCTCGTACAAGTATAGCTACATGCATACAAGCTCTTTTTAGCCTTTCAAATTATTTCATATTTATGTATATTTTTTAAGTTTGTAATTACTTTAAAGCCTCTCTGCAAACATATTTAAAAGACCTAGCGAATTCTCTTTAAAAGGATGTCTTGCAAAAACGAGTAAAAAATAACATGTCAATAAAATAAAGTTACAAGCAGTGTTGTCAGATTACGCAATTAATTAATCGTTGCTATAAAAAAATATCCCAGTAATTTAAGATATTTAATAAGTTTTATTAATGTTATTTTTACATATTTTAATGACCACTTCGCCTGGTATTTCTTAGGGTTATTAGTGGTAATAAATACTATGAATATTGACTAAACAAGGAAAAATAAGCTTAAAGTGAAAATTAAACTTTAAGGAATAATTTTTTTTCAGGTCGCCATAATGAGTTTTTTAAGATGCCATCCATTACTTATCTAATACTATATTATGTATGAAGTTTGATAAACACCATTTTATACACAAATTTAATTTAGGCACGAGCGAGCTTGCGAGCGAGTGCTTAACTTAATGAGTGTATATAAAAGTTTATAAACGAGGTGCATACTATAATTTTTCTACGACAAATACTTATTATTATCTTAAAATGATTTAAATCAAAAATTTGTATAGAGCGCCGTCTATGAAACAACAGGGGAAATTGTCAAATGTCACATTTTTACATTTTATAAACACAATTATAAAGGTTATAAATCGAAATGTATTTCTTGAAAATTTACAGTTTTTCACAGTGAAACTAAAGGAAATGTTTTATGAGGACTTTACAGTATACTGTAAAGTCCTCATTAAACATTTCCTCTATGGAGTCCGTGCCCGAATTTAAGGTATAGTTTACTGCCGGCGAAATTAAAAGGTCAGTATACAATGTTCATAAAAATTTTTCAAATATTGGCGTTGAGAAACTATTTAATATTTTTGTATTGAGATAATAATAGTTATTTACGATATAAGTGGGATAAGAGCTGCGAAATTTGCCCAACGAGTGCGTAGCACGAGTTGGGCAATCGCAAAAGTACGTTAATAAAGCGTTATCACACGTATATTGTACAAATTTTTATGTACGCCTCTAAATGAAAAAATAAACGGTAATTATTTTTGTCTAAGACTTAATTTAGGGTTATTTTGACATTTTGACTTTTTTATTTGATTGGTTAAAAGCAGAGAAAAACGCGTGCGTTAATGAACTTCTTATCTCACTCAAAATGAGTGGGATAAGAAGTTCTTATCTCACTGGCGTAGATAAAATAATTTTCACATTTAGTATTATTTTACAAGGAAGGCACTTTATTTTAACGATTGTATGACATTTGACAACTGTCAACTAACTTAAAACTAACTTCAGCCAGTGACTAAAAACCTGTTGCTAACTTTAGCCCGTGACTAAAGCGCCATAAAGCCACAACTTGTCAATGTGTATTTAAAAGGTCACTTAGTGTCATGGAAACATATACGATAAAGGACGTTTTAAAGGTGGGAGTAGAACATTTTTTTTTTTCCAGTAAATAATTCTTGTGGTATTGTGCGTTTTGCCAATTTTTTTGACAAGCACATTATTTTATAAAAATAATCGTAATAAAAAAGATTTTTTTCCTCATCTTGATTAATTAGCCATACAACCAATAAATTATACAAATTATTTCTTCATTTTATATTATTAATTAACCACTATTAATTTTATTTTTTGCATACATATTTGCATCGCTTGCGTTATGCATAATTAAAAAGTGACGTTGACGTGAGCTCGTGCATTTCATAAATTAAGACAGCTTACAAGGATCGTAAATAAGAGTAAAAATGTATTAGTTATGCCGACATAATAAGGCGAATACAAAAGGCAAACAAATTGTCGCTGTTTCTGCCAAGTAAAGAATTTTCAATGAGTTTTATCTGAACACGCAACTTTTGTGTTTAGGGGAAGTCAAAATGGGATTTTCATTGTAATATTTTCTGTGTGTTTTGTGAAATTTGTTAATAAATTGTATTTTGTAATTTACTTATAAGTAAATAGTAAACTATAGTTAACAGATTATAGTTGGTTGTAAACTTGACTTAAAGTTACGTGGATTTGGATTAACATAAAATTTGTGATATTCAAAAAGTAAGAATAAAATATTTATTGTTATTTATTATGATTATTATACCTACGCTTTGTTTTTGTTGTTATCTGTCATACTTCTAGTAAATTTATTCCTGCAAGAAATGTGTACGTTATTTTGGTACACAGTAAAAAAAAATCAACTCTAAGCAACACTAATTAGAGTTCACACAGGTCCACACTAAATAGTGTTGTTTTATAACACTACAATTAGACTTAATTTGTAGTGTAATTTTCCCCAAATAAGCAAGTTTGATTTAACACTATAGCACTGAGAATAAAGTAATTTTACACTGTATTAAAAAGTGTTAATTTACCTAAAATCGTGTACTTCTACACTTCCTGGGTAAAATCACACTTTTGTTCAGTGTAAATTAACACTACTTTGGAAAAGTTCTAATTTTAGAAAGGTATAGATTCTAATTTTAGAAAGGTATAGATTTTTGTTCCAAATAAATGTTTCTCTTTATTTACCTTTTCGTTTTATTCACTACCACCAATAGGTTTTACTCAAATAATAGTGTTAATTTACACAAGAAGTTTCCACTAAAAGAGTAAAAGTATACTTTTACTCTTTTAGTGGAAACTTCTTGTGTAAATTAACACTATTATTTGAGTAAAACCTATTGGTGGTAGTGAATAAAACGAAAAGGTAAATAAAGAGAAACATTTATTTGGAACAAAAATCTATGACAATTATCAAAATCGGTGCCTTTTAAAATGTAATTTTATATTTGAGTCGTATGGCTGGCTTAAGCAAAATGTAAAACGTAAAAGTTTTAGATCAATGCAATGTTTTACTGGCTGTCAACTTGAAATGAAATTAATTATCTTGAGAATTCATCAGTAATACATTTTTCTGTTATAAAAAATGGGTGATCCCATTGGTAGAGAGGCGTCAGGCGGCTGTATGTCGGGGATTTACCACAAGTGTACAAATTTTCCATAATATTAATATTAATAAAAATGTAGGTATAGGTTAATATAACAACCATTACGCTTGAAAGTAATTGTGTATGTATTTATATTATTAATGTTACAAGTACCCGACGTACTGCCGTAAATTATTGATATATAATATAGGTCGGGTATGGACATCTTTTTAACAAATTGGTATTTATTGAGTATTAAGGCTTAAAGAAAAAGGAAGTATAATACTTACCAAAAAATATGGATTCACCGTAATTAAAATCTAACTGAACAAAAATGCCACACTTCCACAATGCGGTATCTCCAGATTTGCACTGCGTAGGTAGATAGGTACCAACCAAACATTTTAAAACGCATTTCGGTTATTACCAGTTTTTTCAGTCTATTTTGCCACTATTGGTGTAATTTAACCTTAATTGTGATACAATGTGCACTAGTAGTGTAAAGAAAAAAGAGCTAACATCAAAACAGACAAAGAAATTGGCATGCACTGTAGTGTACATTTTGTCACTATTTAACACATTAAAGGGTAATAAACACTCTACCTTTTTGATTTATTTTAATAATAAATAGTGTGAATGTACCAATGAATATTGTTCATATTCTTTAAATGTGTTTAATAAAGTTAATAAGCACTAAATGCTACCTAGTGTATTTTGTAGTGTAACTTTTACACTTACAAATCAACTCTAATATTTTTACCCCTACACTAAAAAATGTACACGGGCAAAATTTTTTACTGTGTAATCATCAGGTTTATAAAGCAAACAAAACATTCTAAAAACGCGTTGATTTTTTGTGAATAAAAGATCGAGAAGTAGATGTTGAAGTTAATGGACCCTTAAAACGATCTGAACACGAATAGGAACATTCGCGCTCGCACCCAAGTCACTCGATTCGTATTCGCGAAAGGCGAGAGCGGAGAAAACATCACGTCGGCCGTGGCGCGGCGCGTGGCCGACAGCACGCTGTCCGATGTCCGGCCGGCCGGACGACGTGAGTCCGTCCGTCCTGCTGCGGCTCGCAGGAGAGAGCCACGCCGCGGCGAAAACGTAGCCGGCCGCACGCGACCGCTAACTCCGCGTTTCTTTGCCGAGGGGTTCGTCCAATCGGATCATTCAATTTGAATGGAACTTATGTTGGCTTGACAGATTTTTACAATCATCAACAACAACAGTGTTAATTGTTTTAAAAGCTTTATGCCTACACGGAGAGAAATGTATAGTAAATTTTAGATAGTATACTCTATAGAGTGGCAAAACCTTATATTGTTCTAAATTAAGTTTTATTTATCAAGTCACATCTATTCTTAACAGTTTTGTTTTTGGTTCACCTCGATATATTTATTTTTGTGGGAAATATGGATTTTTTAAAAAAACATTGCAATTTCCAATATTTTTCCTGTATGAAGAACTAAGGTTGCTATGGTCCATCCATAGCCTAAGGAGGATGACAGTGACAGTTTTGTTGAATCATCCCATACTTGGACATGTCATATAAGGCTTTCAAAAGCTATCAAATTGTTTTTTGCAAATTAATGTTTAAATTTTGAGGTGTCTTCTCACTTTAAAAAATAGATATGTCCCCGACTGATGTTGCCAGAGCCATTAATTTAACGATGTGGCTCCCGTCCCGAGGCGGGACTTAAGTTCAGTCCCGATTGACGTCACACACTGTAAATCCGTTTTTATTCCCCGAGATTTTATAGTTTGTGTCAAGCTCGATGGCTTAGATGGTAGGGCGGT